TCGAAAAATGAATTCACTAGCTAACATACCTAATAGCTTGGAAATCGAATTTGACGCGAATCCGATCAAGACTTAGTCGATTTCGTAAGTCTAAAAAAATGGTTTGGCAAAGCTATGTTCGGCAAATTTTGTAGAGTAATTGGGTTAAGGAGTGATGTGGTTTTAGGGTTTGTTTTAGTAGCCTAACATTCCCTCTCATGTATAGCATAGGTGGTTTGGCGATTGGATCGGCGATTTAGGTTTTCAGAACGCTTTAAAAATCGTGCACATCACGTTCTCGGGCTGGTTCGTAGGCGTCTGCGCGTCTCGGCGCCGCCGCGTCGCCTTGCCAGCGTTGGCGGTGAAGCCGCCTGGTTTAGTCTGCTGACTTTGGCGGAGCCGGTCGTCATTGCAGCAAAGACATCGGCCGCTTCTTTGTCGATCATTGGCTGTTGCCCCCCTTGTGCACCTGCCCGCCGTCGGCCGTGTCCCCGGCGGGGTGGCACAAGTACTCTCTTTGCCGGGACCTCTACTAGCTCGCGTCGTCGCGTCGCCATGCCTAACTTTGTAGGCCCGCGATCGTGCTTGCTGGGTCGCTTGCGTGAACCCACGCCGCTTGCGTCGCGTCGCGTCGCGTCTGCCGCTGCTGCGTAAGCCTGCTGCAACGGCACATGGCCATGTCGCCATCGGCTTGCCAATTAAGGCGTTGCGGCCGCACGAGCCGTGCCGACCCCATACGCACACGTGTAGCCGATCTCTATGTGCCCTTGTCCTCTTTTATTGAGTGGCAAGCGCCACGCTGCGCTCCCCAGCCACCTCCGCCTTAAATGGCGTCGCGCCGGCGTCACCGAGCCGTGCCAAGGCCAGCTCGCAGTGCCCGGTCTAATCTAAGTAATTGCACACGCCAAAGGCTTGAAAGGGGACCTAGCTACGCGCCAAGCCCACCCACTGCTACAACCGTACCGTGTCGAGCGTCAATTTGAAGTTTCCCCACCGTCGGCCATCTTAAGACCGAACGACGACGCCCACCAAATTAGCCTCGTACCGTCCACCTCCATCCAATTCCATGGTACCGTGTCTTCGCCTTGATCCCCTCCACCCCCTGCGCACCCGACTTGAACCGCCGCTGCTTTCCCGACGCCGCTAACACGGTCGCGCCACCGCAGTCCGTCGTGGAGCTTGCCGTGTGCGCGTGGCCGGACGCACCCGATCCATCCCCGGTCAAACCAGCACCACAACAACTACTAGGGTATGATAGTGGTGCTTTAAAGTTAGCTAGCTTTCCCCGTGGGGGCTTAGGGTGGCCGGCGTGGTCGCGCCACCGTCGTGCATGGCCGCGCGTCGTGGCCATAACTTCCGCGAGCTCTACCGCCCCTGTAAACCCGGCCAGGGTAGGCGCTAGGGTTGTAGGTGTTGTTTGGCTCACTATCTTGGTTGGAGCAGGTCTCGGTTGGCCGACTTGACCGCCAGTGCTGTCGCCGCCGTGCCGGTGCGCGCGGGGGTGGCCCGAGGACCTAGCCGTTGTGCAGATGGATTGTTTCGAGGGCTAGTTTGCTTAAGTCTAGACAGTAGGAATAGGCCGCATAGTAGTTAGGGGAATAACAGTTAGATAGGGGCGGTTTCGCATAAGTGACCGGCGCGCGTGGGCCTCCCCGTTGCGGGCCGTTGACGTGCGGTTGGGACGCGCCCCGCGTGGGCCATGTTGGTGGGTTGCGCGTGCGCGCGCACGCAGGGCCGAGCCGCGATGGGCCGCGATGGGCTGTTTCGCCCTTTTCTTTTCAAATGAATTAGTTAATGTTTTTCTAATTTAAATTGTGAACTGATCTTTGATAATTAATATAAAATTATATAAGTGTCCTAAAATTGTGAAGTAAATTTTGGTTGGTTCCTAAATTCATGATCTATCTTTTAGTGTATTTAGTTCATACAGTTTTGTGGTATCCTTAGGGTTATTTTATTTGTTTTAAAATGCTTGTTGTTATTATGATTATTTAGAGAATGAATTTTCGTGATGAAATGGTAGAAGTGCTAGCTCTGAAAATTTTACAGTAGGCTCATAACATTATTAGGTACTCACTGTAATTTTTGTAGCCTTGGAATATATTGAGAAATATGATAGCTAAGTATTCCTTGTTGTAGTATATATATTAAATCAATAATAAGAATAAGGATGCCTTTAGTTACTAAGATAATACATGCAATGTTTCCTACCTGTTTAGTGGTAATAAGAGGTAACTTAGCGTCTTAGTCGGTAGAGCTAGCTTAGTAGCTTGATAGATGTATTCTTATTTTAAGAGTTGTTGTTGCCACATTATTAAGTGTTGCATCATCATTTAATGCATGTAGATAACGAGTTGATAGAGTTCGTGCCTGCGGGCGAGCAGAAGTACAAGGAGATCATCGAGGAGTACGAGGAGGAGATTCTCGTGCAGGAGGGAGCCCCAAAGCCATCAGTTGCTGACTTTGCTGACACACCGCATGTCCAAGGCAAGCCCCGGTGCATAACCTTTATTTTGAATGATCACTGGATATATATATATATGTGTGTGTGATGTGTATTTACGTTACAGGCATTTTATGAAAATTACATGCATAGATATACCTACCTATGAGTCCTACTAATATAGGTCGAGTAGCTGCTATGCTCAGGATTTCGGTAGCGTGAGTAACCTGTCGTTACTCACAATAGGTGATTATTATTATCACTCATAATAAAAATGGTGAAAGGAAAATGAAGACCGGGCAAGGATAAGGTTCGGGTATTGGTGGGTGTAAGAGGTTGTGTCCTGCGGCCAACAGGGCATAGTTTGGTTATACTGTTTCCCTGTCTGTGTTAGTTAAGGACCGACCGTTGCATTGGGTTTTAGGCAAGTCACAGACTTATTATCCCGAACACATACTTATGTATGGGCGCAGGGAAGACTTGTTGCTCTCTTGTCATGAGTTTCGGCTCTTTCCGGACCGACTGATTGGAGGCGGGGTGGTGGAGGTCTAAGCACCACACTGAGTCCGGGACTCAGGAGCGGGGGCTTGGAGTTCAAGTTTGGACGGGGACCTAGATCCCGTGACAAGAGGGTAGTGGATTGGTCCTGCTTGTGCCTGGGGTACAAGAGAGGCGTGTGTTTCGGGGTACCCAGCTGGGCACATTGATTCGCGAATCGCCGGCGATCCGGTACGGCTTGTCTACAGTCTAGCACCGTAGTAAGAACGGAAAGATGGAAAGTGGTGAAATAGAACTGTTTGTTCAACTCTTGAGAATGATTAGATAATAAACTAATCATGAATGCTAATAATTAACATACATAAGGATTCACTATTAGTATTGCTTTTCGTAAAAAGGAACCCAGTAAACAATAAAGCTTATCATATCCCTTGAAGTCGGGAAATTATTCTCACTAGTCGGATAAGTCTTGCGAGTACATTGTGTACTCGGGGTTTATTTACCCCTATTGCAGGTGCAGCTTGAGGAGTAGCCGTTGTGTGGAAGATTCTTCTGGTGGACACAGACGGATCCTTGTATATGATCAATAGATGTTTATTTTCATTCCGCTGTTTAATTTCCGCACTCGTGAACTTCGTAATGTAATAATATATTTTTAAGAACTCTTGTATGAAATTGATTAAGTATTGTAATCTCGTTCTCATTATTGGATCGTCGAGAAAAAATGTGGATTATTCGAGCTCTCTCTTGGAGTGTGCTCGACGGAATTCGCCCGTTGTAGCTTGCTTTCGGGGTGCTTAGTGCCTGGTGGAAGGAGAGCGCCTCCGAGAGTGTGTTATTTCGAGCGGTTCTGCCACAAGCGCGAGTCTAAATGTGGGAGGCACGCGGCGCTGGCGGGCGGCGGCGGGCGGGGCGGCGTCGATGAGCGAACGTCCTGCGAGCGGGGGTGGCACAGATGATCGAGTCCGTTCCACGTGGGTGGGGGCACGCAACGCAGAGCGGGCGGCCGACACAGCCAGGGTACGTGGACGAGGATGAGCCGCGTCCTCACGGGAGTCATGGGTCGGACGCCCGTGACATACCATTATCAAAAGCCCAAAGCAGGTAAAACTCCTTTTTCGAAAGAAAGAGTAATGGATGCCGTTAAACGCCATGATCGCTTGAACTTATCAGCCATACCGTTTCAGCGAAATAATAATGTTTTTCTTTTACAGCAAATCAGCATCATCATCAGCATTAACCGTTTTTACAGCCGGCCGAACAGGACCAAAAATGATGAGACACTGTTGTTACCAAAGCACCACACGAGACTAGAGTGCGCGAGCGTTGCATCAAGAGGAATCTTCCAGCTTATTTCCCCAGTTCAGACAAAAGGAAAGGAGCACTGCATTGGAACGCTGATTCGCTGAACGTTGAAGTCTGACTCAACGGAATTGACTAATCCCCCATCGAAACGGACAGCGTGATTGCTACCAATCCCTCGCCTTTCCACACACGGCTAATCGCTCCGCTTTTTGCCTGGTAATCCCGCAGTCTCTCGCTCGGCACGTCTATTTCAAAGACCGTCACTCGGCACACCCTCCTGTTTTTGAGATGACCTCGCTCAGACCTCAGAGGCTCAAAACCCATCGGAATCTAGAAGGCAGCCGCACAACTCACACTCACAAGTCGCAACCAGAGAGACGGAAACTTGAAGCATCTAGATCAGAAACCTTGTCCAGCATGGATTTCCTTGTACGCAGACCACAGGTGATTTGATACTTGGTTCCCAACATGTGAGCTGAGCTTCATTCCACAGCACATTTTTTCAGGGAGCAGCGTCTATGATCAGACGCCAGGATGCACCGATATGTGATCACGTCGAAGTTCAGGGCCAAGTCAAGCGGCGGGTCAATCCCGGCATAGAATATATACCGGCGGCTCCGAATTCCGTAGAGTGTGAGACAGTAAGACCAAGACCGGCAGTGGCGTGAGGCCGTGAGCCAGCTCTTCATAAGACCGACCGTGTACCAGACAAAGCAGCCGTGCTCCTGGCGCCATATCATACCGCGTGGCCTCTCCAGTCCAGTCCTCAATCCCCATGGCGGCCGCCGGGGCGTCGAAGGACAAGAGCGAGCCGGCGAGGCCCCTCGCGGTGCCTTCCCCGACGGTCTACCCGGCGTCGTCGGCCCACGACGCGCGGTCCACGCCGTACCTCCGCAAGCGGCGGTGCGCGCTCTGCTGCGGCGGCTGCTGCGTGACCACCATCGTGGTCATCGGCGTCATCATCCTGGTGCTCGCGCTCACCGTGTTCAAGGTCAAGGAGCCGCGCCTGACCGTGAACAACGTCTGGCTCACGGCCATCAGCGCCGGGATCGGGACCGGGACGATCCCCGCGCCCGTGGCCACCAACGCCACGCTCACCGCCGACGTCTCCATCAAGAACCCCAACGCCGCGGCGTTCAAGTTCTCGCAGACGGAGACGGACGTCTACTACAGGGGGCAGACGGTGAGCGTGGCGTACGCGCCCGCCGGCCGCGTGGGCGCCCACGGGAGCGTCCGGATGAACGTCACGGTCGACCTCCTCGCCGACCGCCTCGCGCGCGTGATGAACGGCACCGGCCTGGTGTTCGGCCAGGAGTACGACCTCGACACCTACACGGAGATCAACGGGACGGTCAATGTGCTGGGGATCATCAAGAAGGACATCGAGATCAAGCTGTACTGCTCCCTCGTCGTCGAGGTTGGGGGAGCGGCTGCCGCGCTGGAGTATGGGGTTGCGTCCACCGTGCAGAGCAAGAGCGTCAATTGTTCAGCAGATGTGACCATGTGAGTCGGTTCGAGAGTGACGACTCATTTCCATATCGTTCCTGGGTGGCCGATCTCTAATTTCTATTTTTACGTTTCCATGCTGTATAGTCATTATGATTTACGTTTCCATGTTTAAATTATGACCATGTTTTACTTTGCAATCCCATCTACGGAGTAGCAAATTATACCATCTGTCCATAACAATAAATAGGCTTACCTTCCTTAATTTTCTATTTTCTTTGTTCCTTTTGCAATCCCATCTACGGAGTAGCAAATTATACAGGACAGTTCTTGACCTGTATGCTGTCGAGACTACCATATATGTTACGATAATGCATATTAAGCAAATGCCTTAGCACCTTGCAACCTCATCTCTCAAAACTGCAGAATAATACAATCTTCCGGTACAAAATCACTAGTCTTAGCTTCCTGGATTTTATAAACTATTACTACTACGCAAGGCACGTGGTTGTTACTGACAGTGCGTTTATTAAAACTAGATGATACCCCACGCGTTGCTACAGGATTAAATGCGAAATTACAATATAAGTATATATATAAAATACTAATTAATATGTTAAACACTTCCGAAAATATAAATTAAAGAATCTGCAGGATCATACAGAATAAAAACACGATCACTGCCTTCAGAACTCAAAAGACATAAATAAATGGAGAAACAAACATAAAAAACAATAGCTGACAGATGCATCTCTCTTGCTTTTTTGCTTGATGAGACTGCCAAGTAGATATCTAAGCATATTGAATAATAAATATTGCAGTATTACTGTAGCAGCAACATGTTCCTCGATATTCTTTACGATAGCATAGTCCTTAAGACTCAAATCTGCAATCGAATCATCTCTTTTTATTTATATGATTGAGTAGATACCCCAGACTAATTGGATATTTGTATCCTTCAATACATTATAGGGCTTGCACCATCTAGATGACAACATAACAAACATAGAGGAAAGTTAATGATGAAAGAGGTCTAAATTCATAATTTCCATATTATACAGATGCAGGATGGCATAATACTTCCAAAGTGCTCCTGTGTGTAGGTCGTATGATGCTACTTGGTATAAATAAATTAACACCACACTGAGATCATGCATCCATGAAACAAACTGATCATTACAATGATGAGCTAAATACAATGAAAATGGTGGACTGTCCACACAAAAGAAACAAATGGTGATGTTTTAAGCAAATATTTAAATTATTACAAGCGAAAAAACAGAAAGGATATGAACTAAAGCTAATGTGACAGACAAGTAGAATTCATAACTTAAAACTACAAAATACCTACTTTGGCACAACAGCCTGGGAAAAGCGTACTCCAGTACAATAATAATTAGAAAACAAATGTTACACATAAATCACAGATGCCAAAAAAAAAATCAAAACCTCAGAACAGAATTCTTACAAATATGTTTGAATCTCTCACCGTCATAAAAGTGCAAGGAAGCACATAAAACTTGCTAGACACAGCAGATACAGGGAAATAACATCAGATGCCAAAAGAATACCAAATTACCAATACCTTAGAACCGAATTCTTACAGATATGCTTGAACCTGTCACCGTCGTTAAAGTGCAAGGAAGCACATAAAAATTGCTAGACACAGTAGATACAGGGAAATAGCATCAGAAATCCATTCAGCGTGATTCATTGGTGTTTGATCCAACATGACAACATCACACGGAAATTAACTTGAAGTGCCATCAAAATAAGTTACATGTCCGATCCACACACATTATAGTTAGGTAGAAGCAAATCAGAATATATTATCCTGATTCCCAAAAGGATAAGGAAACAAATAAAAGAAAAGGGAGTTGCCATGAATCCACAGTGTTGCACAGCAATAGATGGAAAATGAAGACTCCCAACAAAGTGACTTTACCACCAACTGATCATTGTACTACAGTAGAATACTACGTTCATTATTCATTTGGCAGTTCTTGATGCCTGCAACTAGCAACAAAGGTGTGTGAGGTCACAATCTCTTCTTGACTTTTATATGCAATTTCCCTTAAAAGAACAAATTAAGTAGGTACATAGGAGTATACACTTATCATGTCATGATATCAGCTAGTCTCAATTGGTTTACTTATACCCTGGGAACCGACAGTTGAAGGGAACAAAATTCATACACAAAACAGAAATGTTTGGCTGGAGATATGAGAATATGAACCAGGACAGGATTTGAAAAGTCAGGCTAATCAACAGCACGAAGTATATTGTAGCAGTTTAAAATAGAAAGAATTTTCCATAATGAAAAACATAGTACTTATACTTCAAAGACATAATTACATCCAGAATTTTAAGCAGTAATCTGCACATAAAAATTATATCAGTTGTAATTTCCTTCCCATAAACTAAATAACTGATCTTTGTTGAATATCAAATCAATTGTGACTGAAAAATCCAGTTCTCCAAATTATCTGACACACAAGAGTCAGAGGTCTCTTAAAGACCCAGAAATATCTTAATAACTAGTAAGAATTATATTGAAGAATGTTCTTCCTTCCCTTACATAGATTTTTCCATTTAGATGCTAGTACGGTGATACTCCTACATTTCAGGAGAACTAGCAGGTTCTTCTTTCATATTTTTGCTACCAAAATAAGATAGCCAACAAACAAGGATGTACACTGCAATATAAGTCATGAATGGAATAAGATGATTGATTCAGGGAACGAACTTGCGCATACAACTATAAGACCACACGTACCCTCACTTGATAGACGCTATCTTAGAAGAGAAGAACAATGTATGTACACTGCATGTCTTCCTCGGTCCAATAATGTACTGCTATCAAGCAAAACTTTCTCCTAGTTATGGTAGCTCTAACCGAACAGTCCAAATGTGCTAAGCATCACCGATTAACCACCCAAACCTGTCCAAACAAATGGAATAATCAGATTGGTATCCCAGAGTCAATAAAAAGCGGCATCAAACAGGGCGATAACAAGGAGGATGGGAAATGAGAGATGTCAACCTTCGTCACCTGCTCCGGCGACGGTCGGCAGCATACTGCGACAGCGGGACAAGCTCCGAGAGTGGGGTGGAGAGCGGTGTGGCGACGGGGGTGGGCATGGGCGAGGAGCGGCAGATGGGGCACGACGCGCTCCGGCGCAGCCACGCGTCGAGGCACGTGAGGTGGAACCTGTGCCTGCACTCGGGCATCACCCGCAGCATCTCGCCCTCCCTGTACTCGCAGAGGCAGATGGAGCAGGCGACCTCGGCGTCCGCGCCCGCGCCCGCCCCGGCCTTGGAGAAGGGCACCCTCGGGTACGACGCGATGACGGAGGGGTCGAGCCCGACGGGGGACGCCGCGGCGACGGCTCCGCGGGAGGAGGACCCCGGCGAGTTGTAGTCCTCCGCCACGAAGACGACGCGGGGCACGGTGATGGAGATGTGGCCGGAGCTGGAGGCAGAGGAGGCGGCGTGGCGGGCGGAGCCGGCTCCGGCGCCGAACACCTGGGCGGCGCCGCCGCGGCGGAGGCAGAAGTAGGAGGCGAGCAGCACCGACGCGAGAAGCACGAGGAAGCCGAGCGCGATGGCGATTGCGTACCCGAGGCCGAGCGAGGCGAGCGAGTCAAGGATGGACATGGCTCCGTCGCTCCCCCCCACGTGGTCGGCGGCGGCGGGGGTGTGATCGTGGGGCGGAATGGCATGATGCGCGGGGGAGGGGCAGAATGGGAAGAGGGTATTTGTTTGCGGGGGCTTAGGTTTCCGGGGGGCTGGAGGATGGATCGGGTTGTTGGCGGCATTAATTGCCGGGGAAGGAGGAGAAGCCGAGAAGGGGAATCGGAGTAATGGCGGAGGACTGGGCGGGTGCAGCCAGCGCGCTGCCGTGCTCTGGTTTTCTGCCGCGCGGACGCGGCTGGTGTGGATGGTGGCCGGTGGGAACCGGGAGACTGGAGAAGTGGAGAGCGGAGTAGAGTGGCCGAGTGGGAGAGGACGCCAGGGCGGGGAACGCGTGAGGTTTCGGAGGAATGCGCGTTGGGCCGTCGCTGACAATGCGACTCCAGCCGGTGCACGGACTGCCTGCCAGTGGGTGAGTGGGTGACTGCTGGTCTGCTGCGGGCCGTGCGGTGGTGGTGGGCTGCGGCCTCGTTGACTTTTGGTGGTGCATGGGCCGACCAAGGAGCCGTACGGGGATACTAGCATAAATATTGAGCTGGTGTATTTGCTCAATGGGACGGCCGTTGGCTCAGATAGAGATACTGTAGGAGTCTAGGAGATAGGGCATCTACAGCGCCTCCAGTGTATCAGAATCGAGTAGGCGAAAGGAAGGCCTTAAACATTATTATTATTGTTTTCTAAAAATAGATGGAGTATACGGGAGACTAAAAAGGTGCTTGCACGCCTAGCTACCATGATGGTTTCTGATCCAGTTGGCGGTTGGCCGTGGTATTTAACTCTTTTTTCCTTTCGCCTCCTCGACTCTGGTACACTCACACATCACCACTACCAAAAAATAGTATCTTTAGAAGAAGTTCAAAAGAAAAACATGTTCTGGAGTATTTCCAAAAAAATGTTTTTTTTCCACGCATTTTCTCTTAGGCTCCGTTTGGATGTAGATATTGAGTTGCTGGAATTGAATTGGGTTGTAATACCAAATCAGAGTAGTATTGAAAATGGGTTGCAAAACCAATGCTGTTGTTTGGATGCATATGATATTGCCATGCAGCAATGGCACCACTCGCTAACCTATAAGCAAATCTAAAGGGCTGTGCAAGGGAGAAGGAGGGAGAAGGAGGATGTCCTCAGTGCAGCGTTTGTCCATCCAGCGATGGTGCCATTGCCGGTTAGGAACAAATTGGGCAGATCTGGAAGGTCAAGTATGGGACGGATCCATAGTAATGCAAATACTTCGCAAACTAGCGCTCACGTGCAAAGCACTCGGTATCTAGCTATCGGATCCTAAGGGTACCAAGACTCAAATGAACTTCTTAGATGATAGTTTAAACTTAGTTTTAGGGAATGGACGGATAAACCCTTCCCTTTTCTATGGCCAACCCACCGTCGTCCATTCATACAAAGGCAAATTCGTCCGTTAATGGTTTTACTTTTACATCAAGTAATATGGCTTGTTTGGATAGAGTCTTAGCCAGCAATAAAAAATGGACACTTGAGATTAATGTCTGGGTCGAGCGAAATTTTTAGGTATGCATCCGAACAACCCCTAGAAGCATACATTGTGATGTTGAATCTTGCCCTAGCAACATCTCTATATTCAAACGATACAGTATCCCACTCTATGTTTCAATGTAGTCATTGTCAAGATGTGGTGGCAAAACAGATGGTGAACTAGTGATGGTATGTACTCTCCAGTAAAATTATGGTGATATTTCATGGAGTGATATAGGGAGAGATGACTTGTTTTATATGGGAAATGTTCCAGTACTATAATATCTTAAATTTATTTGGACATTTTCAAAGGGTATCTCTACATTGTGGTTTCTCGCATGGCAATATAATTGCACTACTGCACTAGGTCATCCTCAAGGTGTTGCCTCCACCATACTCAGGAAGCATGATTTGGTATCCTCTCAATGTGCTAATTTCGGTGGTATATTTGAATCTCCTTGTTTCTAGTAACATAATTTAATTCTTTGAAGTGAATCTTTTGTTTAGACTTCGCTTGTACTTATACCTACACATTCTATTTCTAATTTTATAGGTCACCTAACTTTGTCTTGAGTCAAGCTTTTATATGTTTGACCAAGTTTGTAGAATAATGTACCAATCTACAACATCGAAATAGTTTGGCTGTTTTTTTAACAAATTATGTAATGATAGTGCATGTTTTCAAACTTGTGGATGTTAAGGTATATTTCTCAAAACTCGATCAAATTTATGAAAATATTAACTTAGGCCTGTGGCCTATAATTTGGAATGGAGGAAAGAGTCAATATAAAGAGAAAAATTAACAAACACCAAAATAAAAAAAGATCAAGGGTATTTGTTGCATGAAAAAAAAGTCAATGATGATTTAACCTTAAATCAAGGGAACGAATCCTGTCAAACCGTAAGGTTATTATCCCAGTAAAAGCTGTCAAAGGTTGTATTTTATATACTAGTTAAAGTGACATAGAGCTGTATTTTATACTAATTAAATTGACGTAGATCCTATACAAAATTGAATTTGCTTTTGCATGCAAGGCTGCACAGATTACGGAACGACACATAAAAATAAGCGCCGTTGCCGGGGATCGAACCCGGGTCGTCCGCGTGACAGGCGGAAATACTCACCACTATACTACAACGACTTTATTGTTTGTGGATTACACAAACGTGGCACTTGGACCTTAACCTTGGCTGCTAGCCGGCCATCGGAATCGCGCCGGTGGACTGGAGCCAATCTCAACTCGTTAGTTCCTTCCTGTAAGCATGCAACAGTGCATCCTCCTCCTAGGTTCCTATGCCGTATTCTCGTTGCACTACCTCATTACACGTTTGGTACACAATCTTTTTTTTTTAGTCCATAATTGAATAATTTTTTATCAAATCTGACGAAAATTTTGTGTAAAAATCAAAAAAATTTCTTTCTCCCTAGGCAAGCAACAGTGCATTCCTCCTAGGTTCCTATGCCGTATTCTCGTTGCATTCAAATGATGGTACACATTTTTTTACCGGTTCTCCTCAATTTCTCCGAAGCGATTAAGGTCGCGCTTCTGATTCAAATTGCTTGACTACCGGTTCTCCTCTGGCTAAATTAAATTGCTGGGTAAACTAGTTTGGGTTTGCAATTAGGGTTTTGCTTTTTCCAAATTGATGGAAGGGATAAAGGAGAGCAGGTGAAGGATTGAAGAAATTGAACCGACACACAAAAATCATGTCAAGTAGGTTTATGTTTATGGATGTCTAATTAGCTGGTTGTTTATTTTTCCCCTTGATTCTTGTACATGATCACGTCTAATTAAGATTTTCAGGAATATGTTTATGCATAGATAGTTAAAAATAAAAGCACCATGTGATGCTGACACCATGGATAGTCAACAAGACACAATTAATGCTACAATTTTTTGCTTCAAAAGATGTGGGTTGGGAGGAGAAGATCCAATTTGATGAAGGCAAAAGGAAAAGAATACACACCTATCATCCTACAAACTGTTCGGCCGATGGTTTTTGGGGTGATAATCCGTTTGCATATGTTTTGTTGTACGAGAAAAATACTATACCATGACTCATAAGTTTAAGCGAACAGATAATTGGCTTTTCATCTACTCGGACTAGGGAGAAAACAACAGGTTTAATCCTAAATAGTTTGATGAATTTGAAAGTTGGCTTGAATATAGTTAATCCACCGACATAGCACTATTGTTTTACTTGTTTCTTGTTTAGAAACCCCGCAAAAAACGATATGTTAGAGCATCCGCAGCGGTGAGCCGATTTATTCAGGAGAGAGTGCCACATACGCGATGAATCGATGCATGCAAAAATCGATTCATTGTCCTGCAGTGGTGAGTCAACACCAGCAGAGACATGGGGGCCCTCCGACGGGACAACAGCAGAGAGGAGACAGCCTCGTTGGCCCTTCGTCGGATGAAGAAATCATTTTTTATTGCCGATGGCCGCTGATGAACCGATGCAAAAGTTTGCATCGACTCTTCTCTCTCTCCTTCAAAAGTCGATGTGCTCCAGTCGATGAACCGACTCATTCTGGTGACACGTAGGACGTTGCATCGGTTTATTTTCGCCACTGGAGAAGCCCTTCTTCTTCTTCTTCTTCTTCTTCATGAAGTGTTGAAGTCTTTTGTGCTCTAGTTTCGTCCCGTAGGTAGCTGCCGATTAGTTAGATGTTATTTGGATCCGAGAGTTAAAAGGTGGATGTAATAATAGTTTGGTTTAGTTAGGTCTCACTGTAGTAAGAAGCCTTTTTAATCCTAGAGAATGTCCTCATTGCCATCAAAACTTATAATAATTCCTTGGTTGCCATAAAAAATTATAGCATTCCTTGGTTGCCATCACTTTGTAATATTTTTATTCCTTCATTGCCATCACCGTTACATAAATGAGTTTTGTTTACTTAACTGCCATCTATTTAGATAATTTGGTTCCTTATTTGCCATTGAGCTGACGGAAGGCGTGATCCTTGTTCACTTTGGAAAAATGATTTCCGGTCTTGCCCCTGCCCCTGTCCCAGATGAACGCGTTGGCCAAAAAGCCCAGCAATCCTTCTTGCCGCATTATTTTAGGGGAAAAAAACAAACACGGATCCAAGTACCCGATCCACATCTGCTCGCACCCTGATCTCGCGCGCGACACCACGGCGAGCCCTGCGCGGGCGGACCTCGTGCCGCCAGACGCCGCCGCCTCCACGCACGGACCGCGCTAAGCGCATGCCGTCCGCTGCCGCCGGCATGCGCAGGCCGCGCTGAGCGCTGCCACCGGCACTAGCGAGCCGCGCCACCGCAGCCGCGCGCAGGCCGCGCTGAGTGCCGAGCGCCGCTGCTGGCACTAGCAGGCCGCGCTGAGCGCCGAGCGTCGCCGCCGCCACTAGCGGGCCGCGCTGCGTGTCGGGTGCCGCCGACGCCATGCGTGGGGCGCCACCAACCGGACGCCTCCTCGACGCTGCCACCGACCGATGCCTCGACGCCGCCACCGTCCGAGGCCTCAACACCGCCACCCACCGGGCGCCTCGCCTCTCGCCTTGGCCCCCACCGACCGGGCGCCTCCTTGTACTGTTGTACATGGTCTGAATTCTGTTGGAGAAAATTCAAGAGAGGGGTAAAGCTGTCTTTTTCCATCTAGTCTAACGGACGGCAATTACAAAGTGATGGCAACCAAGGAAGCTATATTTTTTATGGCAACCAAGGAAGTATTATAAATTTTTAGGGCGATGAGGAAATTTTCTCTTTTTATTCCTTATCTCTTAAAATAAACTAGAGGCTGATGAAGCCACTAATTAGCTAGGTGGATCGAACCTTTTGTTCGTTAAAGAAAGGCCGAGTGGAGGCACGGAGGAAAACAGATTAGCATGTTTTACTTCAAAAAGAAAACAGATTAGCAGGAGACGTTTATATACCTTTTTTTTTGGAAGTTCTTCGATCGTTTGTGTTTCCGCACTAGTACTCTTCTTCCGACGCTCAAAAGTTCAAAATATGTGATGCAGACTTTGTTTTGCAACGTGGTCAACAGGACTACAGGAGGAAATTATCGTTTCCTTAGCCGACAAGAGATCGAAAATTCCATTTGCTTAACTACAAAAGCCATCTAAAAGATGGACTTGGCCCGCAAGAAGATGCTTCGACGGCCAGAAGCTTCTGACGCTACGCCGAGGTCGACTCGAGCGGTCGAGCCCTCTTCCTCTTGGCCCCACGCCCCGGGCTCCGCGGCGCCCGGCCGGACCCGGATGCCGGCGAAAGTCCTGGCGCGACACGCGTCGCCAGGCCCCGTGTCCTCCTCGCGATCTCCACCTCCGCGGGCCCCACGGACGGGACGTGACGAAGCGACGCGCGATTCTCCCACCACCGATGCACCAACCCTACGCTAGCTTACACGCGGGCCCAGCCGAGTGGGCCGCACACCACACGTCGACACATAACTGCGCGAATTGATTAAGGCTAGATTAACGCAGGCAGGACGGACGGATCACACGGCCCGGCGCGACCGGATCGACGGCCGAGATCGCGCCGCGCCGCGCATAAAGCGCGCGGCCCGAACACGTCGGGGAGAGAAAAAGAGAGAAAAGCGAAAAGCTTGTTGTTGCCTTGCTGGTGTTGCTTGTAGTACGGTAGCCGCGTGCGGAGCAAGGAGGGAGAGGGGAGCCAGCGAGCGGGCTAGCGGTGGACGCCATGGCGGAGCAGCACAGGGAGGAGTCGGGCGCGTCAGTGCTGGACAAGATCTCGGACAAGCTCCACGGCCGCGGGGGCGGCTCGTCGTCGTCGTCGTCGGACTCGGACGACGAGCGCTCGTCGGCGACGGCCGCCGTGAAGGCCAAGATCTACCGCCTCTTCGGCCGCGAGAAGCCCGTCCACTCCGTCCTCGGCGGCGGCAAGCGTAAGCCCGGACCTCAAGGCCCTCTTCTCCTCCGATCTCCACTAGTGGGGCTTTGTCTTGTTTGGTTTACTATAGATCCAACCGCGTTGGGGTCTGCTTCACTTGTCTAGCGTTGGTGAACTGTTGATCTGTAGCCGCGCCGCATTTGTTCCTCCGTGTGGACAAATATAAATTCCTGGGGAGAGATCTTTAGCGTGTTGAAAACGGCTCGGCTTCCGATCCGATGTGATCTGGGTCAACTTTGTGCGGCATTGTCTCCACGATGCGAGTATGACGTGATCAGGTTACTGTCTGTCGCTGTAAGATTTGCCTCTAGGCCAGGAGTAAGTGATCGGGTGATTCTATAAGCTAGTAACAGCAGCTTCGGGTGATTCTATAAGCGAGTAACAGTAGCTCGCTGGTTAATTTGTATCATGTGTTACCCTTAAACCCTGGGATTCTTTGTTTGTTTGCTAGTGAGCATTGCTCCCAATTCTTTATTTGGGGCTTTGTTCTGATGTGGTGAGGTAATTTGTGCTTGTGAGGTAATTTGTAGCATGCGTTACCCTTAAACCCAGATATTGTTTGTTTGCTAGTGAGCATTGTTCCCAATTGTTTATTTATTAGGAGCTTTGTTCTGATGTGCTTGTGCTTGCAGCGGCCGATCTGTTTCTGTGGAGGAACAAGAGGATCTCTGGTGGGGTGCTCGCAGGTGCAACTGTCATCTGGCTGCTGTTTGAGGTTATGGATTACCACCTCCTCACCCTGCTATGCCACTGCCTCATCCTCACCCTGGCCATCCTGTTTCTCTGGTCCAATGCCACGACTTTCATCAACAAGTGAGTTAGTGGGATCCCTTAAAACTTCTGTTGTTCTTTGCCTTAATAAGGTTTTGTTAATGTTGATAATGCTAGTTTAACCCAGCTTACATGTTTCTGCAGCATCAGCATGATTGATCTTCATGGCTGCGAACACTATTATTTTCACTTTATATTTTATTAAAAGCATATATCACCTAGTGACCTGTAGTTGATTAGCATAACTCCTGGATTGTGACATATTTGCCATGGCTATTTAGGTCTCCTCCTAACATCCCTGAGGTGAAGATCCCAGAGGACCTGGCTGTGAATGTTGCACGTTCCCTGAGATATGAGATCAACAGGGGGTTCGCTACCTTGAGGGAGATCGGCCAAGGCCATGACCTGAAGAAATTTCTGATTGTATGTTGACTGGCAGGATTTTGTTCTGTATAGACTTCTGTTAATTATAAGGCAACTCTTTCTGAATGTATCTAATGTGTTTATCTCTATTGTCAGGTGATTGCAGGACTGTGGATCCTTTCTGTTCTTGGGAGTTGCTGCAATTTCCTCACCTTGTCTTACATAGGTAACTGTTGTTCGTTGTTAACGTTCTTTGATGTGTTAAGAAGCGGTATCCAATTATGTTTTTCTTTTATGCAGTTTTTATGGTATTGTACACTGTGCCGGTCCTGTATGAGAAGCATGAGGATAAGGTTGATGCTTTTGGTGAGAAGGCCATGGTCGAGCTGAAGAAGTACTACGCCATTTTTGACGAGAAATGCCTATCAAAGATTCCGAAGGGCCCATTAAAAGACAAGAAGCAACATTAGAAGAGTAGAATCAGATAAGGGTCTGGGGTGATTTATCATCTCTTTTGATCATTACTTGTCGGTTTTGAAGGATGGATGTGATTCCATGTCTCCATGTGATGGTAAATACCTGGACGTGTTCTAGTGTATTAGTGTGGTCAGTAGCAATGTGCTAAATTATCTAAGGTTACGCAGAATTGTGTTCTGAATTCCATGTTTGGCATTACCCTCCTTGGAAGTGGTGGTTTCCTCGTTGTCTGTAATATATATATCCACTGCTATTTCATAACCGGACCTAGGCTACGATGAATTGTTCTTGGTGGTTATTGATATACTTCTTCCGTTCTAAATTATAAGTCGTTTTGACTTTTTTTTTTACATCTATTTTGCTATGCATCTAGATATAATAATATGTCTAGATATATAGCAAAATGGATGTATAAAAAAGTCAAGACGACTTATAATTTTGGAAGGAGAGGAGTATTTGATTGATGCTTCCGTCATGCCTTCTGGTAGTTTTTGGCTCCATCACTTTTAGGGCTAGTTTGGCAGAGCTCTCAAGAGGCAGAATTCTGCCAAACAGTTTTTGAAATAAGGAGTGATTTTTCGCTGATTTTTAGCACAATGATTCACTGAATAAACTAGGAGGCTGCTTCTTCTGATTCACATTCACTTCACGCACATAATCACTGTAGTGTGTCCTAGAGAATCAACTTTAATCAGAGAATTACTTCTCAGATAATCTAAAGCAGGAGAAGTTCTGCCAAACTGGCTCTTAGCATAGTTGCTTCTTCTATCGAGTGTGCAGGTGCTACTATGTATACATTTTTTTTGCAACCCTTCTTTTGCTGCTACAAAAATATAGTTGTACCAAGACTACAATTTGCAATACAATGTGTTTCATTTTCACTTTGACGAGCCATCTCATATGATGTTTGCAGTTGCTACATACAACAGGGGACACACTAAATACAGCAAATTACCAGAAAATTGAGGACATAAACTGTCACAATCCGAAAATCCGAATATTATTGTCCTATAACGCCCAAAATCTTGGGTGCCAATTCTCATAATCGGAGTCATCTGTGTCATCACTTTCAGATGATGAAGCTGCTAGTTCTTCAACGTGCAATATGTATTTAGCAACCTGGTCCAGGATAGGGTTAAGCAGAAGGTTCAGACCAGTGAAAAGGCAAAACAGATTATGATTATTACACGGATAAATTTGTATAGCTGATCAGACAGACTATATAGTTAACGGTGTTGTATATAACAATCTCAATCTGCAAATTAGATAAAAGCTACAATGTGCTAGGTAGCTAAGATGTGCAAGACTATTATCAAAAAACTATTACCATAGTTAAACAACTTACTGTATCAGGTAACAGGGGTCGTAATTTTACTTCATCTTGTCTATTCTTAGGGCAATGGTGTGGAGAAGCACATGTGAGGTTGCTCAGCCAAATAACTGATCTGCAATGCGCACACAGTGCTCTATTTGATGCAAATTTTCATGATGCACATTCTGCAGTAAAATATTACACCCTTGTTTTAGAGGATAACCATGGAAATAGTGCATTTTAATTGAATCGAATTATATACAAAAGGAGGAATGCCACCCCTACCTTCATACTTGCTGTGGAAGGACTCCTTCCAGCTAAAGGTTGGATAATCTGACACTGAATTCATGCTGTATTGCACACCAGATACAGGAATGTTGTTGCAACTCAAATGGCTGAGGCCAAAGAAAATCGAGTAATTCATCTTCCACAGTTTGTTGTCATTTGCCGCTGAATTCCAAGACCTTCTAAGGAAGACAAAAGGTGTGATCAACAAGAAAGCACCATATTATTTTGAAAGCTGTTACAGGGAAGAAAAGAAAAATACCAGCAGACAAGACCTGCTGCTACCAAAGAATGCATGTCCAGGAAACTGAAGATATGAACAAGTATATCTTGTGGTATGTCTGGTGAACCTGTCAAAGGGTTTGAAAATAACACATCAGACATCACTAATCCTCCTAAGTCTTCAAAGGAGGCTGCATCTTAAGCCTAACAGACCATTAAGCAGAAATTTCTGAAATCAGCTCAGTGAACTTGGAAGAATAAATTAACAAAATGCCCGTGTGTACATCTATGGTACTGCAGCACAGAATAGAAGACACAGCTGGTGCAGTAATTTCCCAGTCACCAAATATGTTCAAGAACTAAATAGGCTCAAGATTATCAAGTTCACACTAAACAGGGTTACATTGATGCAGTTACACCATGGAAAAGGAACCTATCACGTACCTGAATTTTGTTGGACTCGTGCACGCCTTTTATGTGCAATAATAGAGTGCTTGAACTCTGAAACAGCCTGCGCCTTCTTTTGCTTTGGTAGGGCAACTTCTACCGCTTGAAGAAGAACATTAGCTGTGCTTACTGCATATCCTGTCTGCACACTGTGGGAAAAGAACCAGTTAATACAAAATATTCTCCAGCAATACCATTGAGGAATGAAGTTAAGTGAATAGTGTAATCTAACATGAATCAAGACACCATATAAGATTATAACCATTTGAAAACTAACTGCAAATCACAACATGAGAAAGTGAGCTTTAGAAGCACAGATATCTCCAGATTTTCCAGCAAAACATGAAGCACAAAATCAGTGTAACGTCAGAGGCATCAAAAGCAGAGCAAAGCATTGCCATAAACAAGACACATTAACACAAGGGGATACTATTAAAGCATGAGGAAATGACCTAGAGAACTTCTGCACTAAGCTTTTGCCAGGGTGACCCATGGTCGTCCATGCTGTCCATTCTCACCTACAAACATCTACATCACTTGCTGATCAGACCTACTGAGGAAGGCCTGCTCTCTCATCTGCATAATAGGGCAATAAAGATTCATGCCAGTATTTATGCAAATGATGCAGCCATTTTCGTTCATCCCGTCGAAGAGGAGGTACAGGTTCTCCATTAGCTACTTGAGGCTTTTGACCAGGCAGGGGATGAGAACCAATCCACAAAAAAGTGTGTGATTTAGCCTATGGGTTGTGATGGACTTGATCTGGAGGAAATCATGGAACCTTTTCCCTGTTCAATCAATGCTTTTCCCTGCAAACATCTCGGTTTGCCATTGCGTATCAGGAAGCTCTGGAGAGTTGACATTCAGATGCTCATTGATAAGGTAGCTGCCAACCTACCTGCCTAGACAGGGCGTCTCCTGAATCGTGCAGGGCAATTAACTCTTTGAACTCAATGCTCACCTCAGTGGCCTACTGGTGTTTGCTCTCAAAAAGTGGGTATTGAGGAAGATTGACAAGATCAGGAGTTTTCTGTGGAAAGGACCCACGGAAGCTAATGGCGGACATATACCTGCCACTGGGGAGGGTCTGAGCACACCCATGCTTGCCCACATCCAAACCCAGATCATCATTATCGATTCGTCACCCTCCCCAATATCATCCATATTTGCCCGAGCCCAATAGATAATGATCAAGCTAATAGAGGAGAGGTGCTTGGAGTTGGAGTGCTACTTGACCATCATTGGGTACTAATAGGTATTACCCATTTCCAATGGGTAAAGAATTACCCGTACCCAGATGTGGATTTGGGGAATGGGTCTGAATACCCACCAACAGTCATAGGCGGACACTATTTATTAAAAAAGTGGCCAAAAGCGAGTTGTCCAAAAAATTCTGAAGATATGAGGATCCTGGACCTCGACATGTTCAGTAGAGCACTACAGCTGCACTGGCTCTAGTATGAATGGACAGAACCGGACCATCCTTGGGCAGGCCCGGTGCCACCGTGCAACACGGTTGAAAGGCAGCTGTTCAGAGCAAGCACCACTGTGGAAACTGGAGAGAGCCGCAGGGCCAGATTCTAGCAGTCTTCTTGGGTGGATGGCCGGGGCATCGCACTAAACATGTACAAACTAGAAACTAGCATGGAGAAAGAACACAACAGGTCGTGAGGATCTAGAGAACTTGAAGGACAAGAGGGCTTTGGAGAATGCCCACAATAGAAGAGCTGGTAGAATTCATCAAACTGTGGGGCAGGTTCAGCAGGCGACATTTTACAACCAGCCCGATGAGATTGTGTGGTGTTGGACGACTGATGGAATTTACAGCATGAAGTCAGCTTACAGCATTCAGTGCAGTGTCTCCTTCAGCAGATTTGATGGAAAGTCAATTTGGAAGGCACATGCTGAAGGCAAGCAAAAATTCTTTGCTTGGCTTTTAGTTCAGACCAGCAGACAAACTTGCAGCTAGGAATGTACCTGTGATCTAAGTGCTTGCTGTGTGATCAGGAGCAAGCATTGGCGACACATCTGTGTTTGCAATGCACATTCACTAAAGAGGTCTGGTTCCTTGTCAGAAGTTGGAAAGGGGTTGCAGTCCAGGTATCGGCTGACAATGCTTCAGTAGGAGACTGGTGGCGTGCGTCTCTCAGCAACCTGCCCAGATAGCAGCTAAGAAGAAAGGCAGCACTGATGATCTATACTGCTTGGAATATGGAAGGAAACAAATCGCAGTCTCTGATGGGAAGATTTCAACAACCAGTGCAGGTGCCGCAGCTTATCAAAAAGGAGGTTGACCTGTGCAGGCAGGCTTGTTGGGAACTTGCAGTAGCTTAATACCTTGCTGTATCTTTTCAAGTTCTTTCAGTTATTCTGTAGTCAAGACTTTGTTGAACCCTGCTTGCATCCTTCTTATATGTAATAGCAGTGCTCCTGCTTTATGTTTTTCTTAAAAGAAATAAGAAAAGAGAGACAGGCTACGACAATTGTTTTGTAAAGCATAAACTGATATGGTAATCTCATCCTATTTATATTTGTAAGCCTGTCTATGATGGAGCCTTCTTTTTGCTTCTTATAATGGGCTGGATATTGGTTTTGATTCTTTTTGTATTAATTGTGAACAGATCAAGCACATCTATATATCAGTAATCTCATTAAATAACAGTATATTTCCTTGTGTAAACTTTACATAAGATTTGAAGTTCGGTTTTGCAGATGAGGGAATATAACACCAATGTTTCTCTACAATGCATTAGTCATCAATATTACCTTTGTTATTTTACATACCATTGGTGATCAATTAATCATCCCAGAACAATGCCTGTCAAAGTGACACCTTACACCCGTTACTGGCAGAAATATTTCGAGCGATGCTTCAACATTAGAGCTACCCTAATGTCGGCATAAAAAGTGCTTAAGGTATTAACCTAAGAACAGACAACCTAGTACAATGTATGCTTAAATCATCTACAACATTGATGAGAGAGCTATAAGAATGCTGTGTCAGCCTGAAGAACAGATATGGATCTGTGTACCTACAATCTTTGTTGCTCTAAGAAAAATATTACGCGGACACTACAGATAGAACAAGCTAGTAACAAGCATCTAAGACAAGCGCATGCAAGTAAAAAGATAAATCATCGTCAACACATATCCACGGGGCTGTTGGCCAAATTTTCCGAGCAGCCAACTATCATCGACGGGCTGCAATCAAACAAATTCGGCAATCCCGCACATCAGGGATGCCGGATGCTGGATGATTGCAGGAGGAGGCTTACTCGGGAAGGAGGCGAAACGCGAGCAGCACGTCGGAGGCAACGAGCGCCTGGGCTGCCTTAGGGAGGTCCGCGTATCCGAGGCGCAGGAGCGCTGCAAGCTCGCCGCAGGCAGTGGGATAGTCCCAGGGCCGCGACAGCGCAGCCCCGATCCCCATCTCCCTGTACCTCTCCGCCGCACCCGTCTCCGGCCGCCGCGGCTGTCGCCGCCTCACCGGCATGGCTGCTGAGCAGAGGCAGAATCGCGAGGTGCGGAGCCGTCCCTTGTGGATCGGAGCCACGATCCGCCGCTCGCCGCCTCACCGTCACCGTCGTCGTGTCCCACCTCTCACCGGTCACAAGCCACAGCAGCCTGCAGCGCCTCGGACTGGGCTGCGCTCCTCCTACGCCTGTGCACGACCACGAGATGACGAGAGTTGGCGTCCATCGACGATGGATCGATGTAATGTGAATTGTGGGCTGAACGGTCTGTGTTGGCGAACAGCCCGTTAAGAGGTCCGTGTTGGGCTGTTGGCCCAGGTTGATCTGGGGTCCTTAATAACCATTCATCGAGTTTGCTCAAAAAAAAAAAACTATTCATCAAGTCCGTTGCTAAAAAAAACTACTCATCGAGTCCAAAATTTTTTTTTTAAAAGCCTTCGGTCCGGTAATAGAGCTTTCTAATGGGATGCTATTCATAAGGGTTCAACCCCACCTGGTGTTGCACATTTTTCTTGATTTTTTTTTTCAGAAAGATTGGCTGCTAGAGAATGAAACGAGCCATCACGCGGTTGTTCAGTGCCCACAGGCGAGGATTCTGAGGACAGCCATGAGACAATACTGGAACTTGCCGGAGGACAGAGGATGAATAGTTTCGCTACACTGGAAAAGATTGGCTGCTACAACTCCTTGCGAGATGTTCAGAGGCCCAACGTGATATTATACTACTTCTAGTATGGAGGACATGGAGCGTTCACAACAACTTGACGCACGGGGCTGGACCGACGCAGGTAAATGACTCAGTTGGCTTTCTTCTAAACTTGCAGGAGGGCCTAATTCGTGCAAGGAGGGGCAACTTTAGGACACGATCAAAGGAAAAGGACCAGCAACAGTGGGGAGGATTCCTGACGTCCGGGCAGGGGTTTCCGTCACACCCAAACGTTGTTAGGAGCACCCTCCAGAGAACTGGCGCAAAATCAACGTGGATGGGTGGTCGTTCCTGGAGAGCACAGGCGAAGCAGGTGTTGGAGCCATTGCAAGAGACAGGCAGACAGCTCGGGACAGGTGATCTTCTCGGCATGGCGTTTCTACGAACGGTGTGCTGTGCTAGCGCAGCGGAGACGGAGGCGTTGGCATGCGTGGAAGGCCTGCGGTGGGCTGTCCAATGGGGAGTCCCACAGGCGATCGTGGAATCCGATTGCGCACAAATTATCGAGAAGATGGGTAATGTTGCCGAAGACAGATCAGAGCTCAGCAGAATCATCAACGAGGCAAGGGGCTCGCGCTTTTGCTGGATAGTTGGAAGATTTCCAAGGTGAATAGAGATGGCAATCAAGTAGCAAATGCTTTACCCGGTTTAGCTAGACATAGCAGATTTTCGAAGGCTTGGCTGGGGAGCGCACCTGAATATGCATCGAGCCCCCTCAATGCTGATTGTAATGACTTGCATGTCTAGTTAATAAAACTCTCTCTTTACTCGCAAAAGAAAGAAAAGAAAGCGCATGCGTGTGCGCACGTGCAGTGTGAGTGTGTGTGGGTTGTGCGCATCCTGTTATACGCTATAAAAACCCTATATATCTTTAATTATTTATAATATATATACCTAATAATATTAAAGAGCCAAAAATTATTTCTTATGTCTCTCAAGTTAGAACTATGGGATAGATTCTCTACCAGTCATCAGCGAACTCAGGAGCATGGACGGCTTAGTGGGCTATATAGCTGAGTAAGCCTAATTCCATTTATACATGGGCTTCACATTATTAAATTCAGTGGAGTCCAACAGCGATGAGCTCGGACAGAGGTCCAGGGCTGGCATCAGTAGCTGTTGTCATGCAGCTCACAACATTCGTTTTCTTTTGTGCACAAATTAAAAAAAATTAGGAGTTACTATGAGATAACTAAAGACAACTCATTGTGCATGTTGTCTAATAATAAGTCGACATAAGATTACTTGGCATCATATAAGACCACTATAAAACAACATCATATACTTGTTTATTGCAAATATAGTACCCCATAGGAACAAAGTACACTACTTTGTGTCAAACGGTCTGATAGATCGTTCTATAAGAGCCACACAGGTGTTTTGATGATATGAATGAGGAAGCTGAAGGTGACAGAGAGCCTGTTATTTTGTGAAACAATGGCATACGCTGAAATACGAGACAAAAGGCCATGTTCGTTTCGCTGAAAAAACAATCCAAAACACTGTTCCAGCTGATTTGTTGTGAGAGAAAAACACTGTTCCGGCTGAAAAAAGAAGCTGAAAAGTACGGATTATAAGAAAAGCGAACAGGGCCAAAGGTGCTTTTGCCATGCAAGTCACAATATCACTTATTTTGGTCTATGCATAAATTAAGGAAATATTAGTCACGCTATGAGAAAATAAAAAAACACAGTATAGGTTGTCAAATATAAGTCAATCCTCAAGTTTATTTTGCACTGCTTAGCCATTAATTAATCCATAGACGACCGTGTTCCTGTAAGTTTGTTCGTCTGTGTAATTATTAAGAAACTGTGTTTTAAATAAAAAAAAATGCCATCCTGAAAACAACACGACGAAATAAATGAGAAAAACCGTGCGTCTAACGATGATCTTGTGTAATCCGCTGCGCGGACCGCTACGTACTTGCGTGACTACCATGTGAGCACGGCATACAATTTCTTGTCGTGCAAGTTTACGATTTGGAAATCCAGGACAGTCCTCGATCTCATTCACATATCCATCAAGGCCTATAAAGAAAGACTAAACAAAGAGGATTGCCGAGTACCGAAAGATCACAGATTTCACAGTGAAAGCACGCGATGACGCGAGCAACGTGGGCATGCGGCGGCGGCCTTGATCCAGGCAGCGAAACATGCATGCGTCCCTGCTCCTTCGATCCGCACGTGAAATCCCGCGAGCCTATCCAGTATCCACCGCGAATGCGTTGCCTGGACTACTTGTTGGCAGCGCCAGCGCTAGTAGTTCTTATCCGGACCATCGGTGGACGCCGGCGCGGCGCCGCGACTTGATGCCTGCCGCTGTTTCGTTCCAGTTCTGCCGAGCCACCGGCAGAAAGCAGACTGCAGTGGCAGTGCAGGGCCCAGGGTACCGCATCATCATTATCATCATCACAATTCACACCTCGGCCCCTCTCAAAAGGAAGCAGCCGCCACGTCACCTAAATTTTTGTTAGCGTTCGATCTTCCCATCCGACGACCTAGATTTTATAAAACAAATTTTACTAAAAACGACTTCTCATGATTCTCCTTACCTTATCCAGCTTCTCACCGGCTTCTCATTGGACTCTCATGCTTCTCGTCCGAAGCCAGGCAACCAAATATATATCCAGCTTTTACTTCTCCTTCCTAAAACTTCTCCGAATATCTCGGCTCCTCCTCTCATCTCTCGCCCCGTCGCTCCTAGCCCCGACGCGTACGCGCGACACGGACACGGCGACGACGACGGGCGCGGTGGTTGCATCCCTCTCCCTCCTCCTCCCCGGCGTGCCGTCTGGCCCAGCATCGCGGCTCAGTGCGCCAGGCGCGGTCGGGCGCGACTCCGCCATGGCCACCGGCGATGGTCGTCCCCGGCCACTACCCGGCGCGACCACCCCCCCCCCCCGGTGCCCGCCGGCGTCACTCCCCCCCGGCGCCGCCTCCTCCCTCTGATCCTTGTGTGCTACTGTGCTCCAGAGAACCCTAGCTGTCCGTGTTATAGGTCGGGGCAGCACAACGCTGACCCCGCCCCCACGGCGGTGCCCTGCTCCCGCATCGAGACGCTCACCGGCGACAGCAGCGGCGACCATCCTCTACTCTATTTCTTCCTCCTTGACCTCCCTTGGGCTTGGTACGGTAGCCTAAAAAATCCGCTTTAACTCATTGGCCACCTTATGTCTCTAATCCCTTGATTTCACTTTCTATATGTATGTATTATTTTTACTTATCCATATAGTTCGTGTTCTAAAAAAAAAAACCTAACCATGTCTCAAAGCTTTCTGTTACTGTGGTGAACCTTTTCAAAACATATACAAGCATATGCCATTGCTCATCATGTACGTACATGAGCAGAGGTCCCTGTCTTTTGGGTATGTCTAAATACCAAACTCATTTCTGCTCTGATGAATGTGATGTAGCCTTGTGTATGTTTTTTAGTTTTGCTTTAATTTTCAATTATGCCTCCTATGGCTCCGTTCGTTTCGCTGAAAAAACAAGCTAAAACACTGTTTTCAGCCGAAAACAAGCTAAAAAGTACGGATTATAAGAGAAACGAACATGGCCTATGGGGCCGTTCGGCTGGTCTGAAACTTGGCTTGTTCGGCTTCTTTTTTTCAGCCAGAATAGTGTTTTTCTCTCACAACATTTCAACCAGAACAGTGTTTTTCAGCCAATTTCAACCAAGTTTCAGACCAGCGAACGGGGCCTATATGTTTTTTACCTGTTTAGAAACATGTGAGTAATGTTTTTAATTAAGATCCATGCTGTTGAAACTGAACCTTCGTACATGTTCTCTTTCATTTAGTTAGGCAATTCTATCTCATAGGGATGATCGTTCTCTTATCTCGACCAGCTACCCAGTGATCTAATATGTCGACAGCAGCCTTCTACACAGAGGGCAACAGTCAGTGAACAGGTAATCAACATCACAGCAAACAATTCTAAAGGATTCACACGGCAGCACATCTCCCTACCAATGCGCGCGATGGCGCGCGCCCTGAACTAGTTATTACCAAGGATTACCAAGGACGCGCCTTTGAGCACGCGGAGAGTGGCCGGAGAGTGGAGACTGCTGTTCCGATGCGGCAGTGACGAACAGATTACGGAGGATTTCGTCACCTGGGATTCGCTGCATGTAGAGTTGCAGACGTCGGCCGCTGGTTCATCCAACCATTTCACGCTCGAATGCCAAGCGAAGCAAAGACGGGGAAAAGGTTCAGCGCGCGTTACCGCGGGCGGAAATGTCCGTAGGGAAAGCTCCTAACCTCCCGAGTCAGCTGATGCGAACCGCTCGGCGAGTACTCGTATATGCTTTCTATTC